GGCCGGCCGGGCGGAGTGAAGCGGTCCGGCTCCATCAGCAGGACCATGGCCGGCGGAGGCCGGACATTGGCCGTGGCTTTTGAGGCCCTGAACATGAAGTATCGCACCGCGGAAGCGATGCTTTAGCAGATTGGCCCGCCCCGGTTTTGAGCTTTTAGCCTAAAAGGCCCGAATCCGAAGTATCGCTTCGTGCCTGCGGTACTTTGCGATCTGGCCCGCCTCGCGACTTGGCCGCCGCATTAAGGCGATAGCGGTAGTGCCGTTGGACGGCACAAACAATATCCTGTCCCCATCATTGGGAAGCGAGCTTTTAAAACTAGCGTTTCGTCACCGCCGGTGGCACTTCAAGCTGTCGAGTCGAGCAGAAAAGTACAGCCTGGCTGTACTTTTATTCGACCTCGTTCCTACCGCAGTGCGGTAGGAAATGCACAATGGGGAGTTCAAGAGCGCATTTACACCCCTACTAACAGTCAAATAGACCCAGGAAAGCTTCGGTAGCGAAAGTTCTGAGGCCTTTCGGTGCAGGTGGTGCCAGAACCTCACAAGACACCGCGCGCTACCCGGAATATGGCCCCTGGCGCGCCGGGGCGCTCGAGGATAGCAATTGGATTGAGGGATCGCGGACTTGCCAGGCAAAATCCGTCCGTCGGGCGAAAACGCCCGAGTTTGAAAGATTTTCGGGGACGCCGGGGGAATACGGCCAAACTTTGCCCCAGCAGTAGCCCACTGGGCACCCGTTGCCTTAGTAGCCTATCCGTGCCCGTCGGAGAGGTCGGCTTTGGTCCCCTTTCGATCAGAAATATTGTGACCGAGATACCAGGGCCGGGGACCTCTCGTAGCCTTATAAGTACTTGTCGAGCTTAATTTCGAGCCCGATACTATCCTCGCTGCCGAGACTAGCCATATTCACCGGCATCCGGGGTTCCCTTAAAATCACCCCATTCCTACGCTTTGAACAGAGTCATAGCGTTGTAGAAGAAGGTGACAGGTCCGCCCGCAACTATGCCTGGTTGCTTGATGGAAAAGTGCTCGGGACTTTGGCCAAGATTCGCTCGAAGCGATAAGGCCAGTCAGAAGCTGCCAAGTGTCTAGGCCCGAAACATGGTGTTGGAGCCTCGAGGGAGGGCGGCGGTTGCCCAAGCTGCGCACTGAGGATGTATTGTTTTACCGGCACTACTACCGACCAATACGTGAGACTAGCAGTGGGGCAGGTCGTGGTACCGGTTCGAAGTCTAGTGCGCTCTTTTGACCGGCCGAAGTGCCTTAGCTGCAGTCGCAGACCGAGTTGCAAGCTAAGATTCAAATGATCCGGATCCTCTACACGTTCGCGTGACTTTTAATACCCGGTACGCGCAACGGCCAAAATAAGTTGCATGTACTGTAGAGGTTAATTGTCAGAAAATAATTCCGTACCTTAGTTCCGTACGTTGCGGTCGCGCTGGCCGACTCCTTCACCGCGCGCCGCGTGTCAAAATATAAGTACCGACGTGCGCGGCGGTTCGATTTCCAAGTTCCGTACGGTCTGGGTCGATTGACACTGCGAATTGCCTCAATTTGCCTGGGGGCTGCGCGGACCGTCGATGATGAATTTGACGGGCAAGATTACACCTTATCGCTGCGATCGAATCTTGAAATGTCAGAAAGATAAGGGCGGGTCCGCAAGCTTCTTCTACAACGCTATGAGTGCCGCGTGGCATGCCATTTTAAATACTACATATATTGACTTGTGCATTTTGATGGCGCGGTTCGTTCATACCTACGCTATTGCTCCGGATCCCATCAGACCTCCGAAGCTAAACGCCTGTGGGCGAGAATATTACTGGAATGGGTGACCTTCCGGAAAGTCCTCGTGACGAACCCACTCTTATTGCACTTTTGGCCTTTTCGCGTCCTCTTTTGACAAAGCTCTTTCAAATTTTTTTGTTTGCATGCTTTGTGGAGTGATTGCTTTCGCGAGTGATAGGTACTCCATATATACGTGGCTATCAAAACACAAAATCATACAGTAAGCATGCACACTGCTTACTGGGTAACTCAGCGCAGCATCTTGCGTGATTGAATTGTATGATTGTTGTGAAGCTTGTCGATTTGCTCTAGATTGAAGTAAGCAACTATATGACGTTGAATGCTACTACCCAACCCAGGTTTGGTGACCTGCCATGTCTTTTGGGTGATTGCTCTGTCCAGCTGTGCACTCATTCATACCGCGGTGGTCGCGGTACTTACGATGGAGTTATGGCACATTTTAACATGGAGTTGAATTTTTCATGACGAAGTGTTTGCGGCGGGGCGGTGGTTGGCCGGGGTTGGGATTGGGGGAGGGGGGTGAGCGGAGATCATGGGAAGGTGGGAGGATGTGCAGATGGGTTGACAAGCCGCGACAGATTGTAGAGCCAGGAATGCATTTATCGGAGAACGTTAACGCCCTCAGCGCAGGAGGCTTTTGTGGGCGACCTCAATTGTGGAGGGCAACAAACTTTGGGACATGACATATGTAAAGAATATACACGGCGGTGAGCACTTGGTGGACGTGATTGGGGGTTCAGTGGTTTTTTATCGACCGCTCAGTGAGGCTCGCGGACGCGAAAGTGGTCTGGACAAACTAGCCTCAGTCACTCGGGGGCTCCCTGGGTAACCGTATTGGCGCTCGCCGGGTTTAATTGGGGGTTGGGCGGCCGTTGGGGGGACGGCTTCCGCGGCCCTGCCGAGGACTGGGTCCGGTTGGTCGAGCAACAAGAAGGACTACTCATTTCAGTAGCCAAGGCGGTTCTTGCAGAAGTAGGCAGAACCTCAAAATTTTAGCGCTCTCGGTCCGGCTCACATGCCCAGAGGACTCGCGCACAGGGTCCAGTGCGCGGCGCTCGCATGCTCGCGTCTGGACTCCATACCCGGGACGCCCCTTGAAGGAAACGCCTTGATCTTGCTTTGCCTCAGCTCGGCCCTGTTCAGAGACCTCTTGAGCCTCAGCCGGCTGCATTCCGCCGCAGCTCCGTTCGTTTTGTCGGATCGGAATCCGAACGGAAGGCCCGCAGGTTCTGGACGGAACTCCGGCCTTCAGTTGCACAAGGAACTCGTTGAATCGGGGGGTTGCGGAGGTGAGAGAACGGGTGGCAAGGGACGCGTTCAAGAACGTCGGTTTGCTCGCGAGGGCTCTTTGCGACCACTGCAAAGCAGCAGACGATGTGGGGCGGCGACTAGTTCTGGGGGAGGTGGTGCGTTTTGCACTTGGCCTTGAAACGGGGCACCGAATTGCGGCGATGGGTTTAGGAACTCTGGACCCTGCAGAGAGAGAAGCCGCTGAGGCGGCAACGAGAAAGGCCCTCGACGCCTGCTCTTGACGGTGACTGTCTGCTGCAAAGCCGTCCTGGGAGAGCCGCTTGGTTCCGGCCGTGCGGCCGGTCGGGAAGCGGATTCGAAGGTGGTCTGCAAGATTTTGGAGGCCCTGTCCTGCGTGGTGTTTTGCCGGGGGCCCTATGCGGAGTATAGCCAGCTGGTGACTCAGGCGGTAACGCTGGCCGCTGAGAGCACAACCGGGGCTGAGGGGCTGGCGGCAAGCATGCCGAACTACGAGGAGACAGTCGCTATCGCATTGGACCAGTCGCCAACGTTCTCGGGAGGCGAATTGCGGGGTTCGCGGGACTCAGAAACAGGCTATTCCGGAGCAGTAGCAACGGACAGAGACGCTCGTCACGGTCTCGGCGAGGCAGAGATTATTGAGGGAAACGCCTCGAGAGGATAAACGGTGGAAAGCACACCCAGCACGTCCGGCCGGGAAGCCGCAACCGGCCCCCCGGAGCACGTTAACCCGACCAGCTCCTTTTTCCCCGAGCACCCGTCCCACCTCTGGGCAAGCGACGCGGTCCGAGCCGCCCGCGTCCACTTCATGCTGCGTGTCTTGGGGCTGTGCGTCGAGAAGATTGGGGACGAGCCGTTTGCGCATGCGGTCCTCCCGACGCTTCTGCTGTACCTGCTTCAGCCCTCGGCCCCAGTCTCGCGCTCCGCCCATGCGGCTAAGTTGCTGCCTTTCCGGACAGCCGAGAGGCGATCCGGCGAGAGTTTGAAGCGGGACGGAACGACGGAACGTCCGGAACGGACTGCCGGAACGGAAATGGAGCTCCCGAGACCTCGACTCCGCATGGCGAGTGTGACG